ACCCCCCCCCCCCCCCCCCCAAAAAAAAAACCCCAAAAAAAAAAAAAAAAAACGAAGAAGAAGAAATTTTAATAAAGAGGGTCGAAGAGAGGTGTCTAACCGCAAGTCTCGATTTCTAGCTCGATACGGTAGCACGATACATAATTTGGATCTTCGCAAACCGTGATGTTCCTTGCCGCCACGGCAGAAGCCGCTACGAGAGCCGCGGCGACGATCCGCTTGCTGAGCATCATGTTTGGCAAGGGGAGAGAAAGCCTGTTCTCTTGAGAGAATAATAGATGGGAGGAATGTAAGATGGATTGAAAAAAGAGGATGGGTACCGACCGGTGTGTCTATGTCTCGAGCGGACTTTGAAGACGGTTGAATATATACATATATATATATATATATATATATATATATTGGTAGATTTATAAATAATTATACACTTTTGACGTGTTTCTGGTTTGCGTTGGTCGTGATACCGTACTACGTAGTACTAGATTGGTCGCTTTCGTATTGGTTTAAGGGGGTTTCAGAGCGATTACGTATTACTACGTTACAGGCCAGGTACTACGTACGTACGGTAGTAGAAGTAGTACTGTAGTATGATTTGATTGATTGATTGATTGATTGATTGATACCCCTTGGCAAAGGTAAAGGCGAGGTCTGCTTTTTTTGGCATCTTCTGGGCCTGCTGTTTTCCTTCTAGGGTTCTAGGGAGGGGGTAGGGAGTAGGGAGTAGGTACCGGTAGGTACTACGTAGGTATCCCTGTCCTTGTCGGAATGGAAGATGCTACTACTATAAATACAGAACAGTACAGAGGAAGTACAGTAAGTGAAGAGGAAGAGGAAGACAGAGAAGGTTTAAATGGTCCGTGGAAGGGGGATTGAGCATGGGATTGAATGGGAATGGGATGTGAATGGGATGGGATATCGGTATCCTATTACGATCACTGGTTGTGATTCTTATAAAGCCGTGTATATACACACACACATATAGATATACAAATAAAATACCACGTACTACTACATCAGAGCCACCACCTCCCACGTACTATCACTCTTATTACTGTTGTTTTGCATTGTATTGTGTTTTAAGTACTACGTACTTACTGTGTTGTATTACCCTGCATTGTATCCTCTTGTTTGTACTCCTCTCCATCACCCCTTGATATCTATCTTACGTGATTGGATTCTATTAATAGGACATCCCCCTTGCTACTCTCTACCAGTACGTACAGAGAATAGAAGTAGTTGGTTGCCTGGGCCACGCGAGTGCTGTACCGGTATTACTACCGTACTACTAGGTACGTATGGAGGTTCCTGCTAGGTACGGAACTACAGTACTACCGGTAGGTGGTAGAAGTACTCTATGTACGGATGAATGGATGAATAGATGGATGATGGATGATGGATGATGGATGGATCTATTCCTACTCCCCATCCGCGGCAAGATCGCATCCGCATCCGCGCCTGCGCCTGCGCCGAAGACCGACCATCGAGCGATCGAACGATCGAGCGGGCACCGAAGACCGAGCAGCCGGGCCCGGGGCCCGGTGCCCGGAAACGAGGAGTAATTGTATTCCTATTACTCTCGGCGCTGGGATTCTGGTGATGGTTAATTGATTACTGGGAGTGGGTGGGTGGGTGCGTGGGTGGATTAGGTGGGTTGGCTGCGCTGAGCTGGTTGGTACGTGGTACGTAGTAGTAGTAAGTTGGATAGTTGTTGCTTGGGTTGGGTGGGTTGATTGGTTAGTTGGGTTGGTAGCGACAGTGTAAATACTGGGAGGAGTACCGGTACAACCTACACCACCACCGCAATCAGCATCAGCAGCAGGAGTGAAATGAATGAGCTGGGTAAATGAATGAGGTGGATAAATGGGTGAAATGGATAAAT